TTTGAGCTGTATTGTATAAATAGTAGTGTGAGACCGTCATTTGATGCGTCTTGCGTCAGAGACCCGCTGCAGGTTTCTGCAACATGGAAAAATCTAGAAAAGTGATGATTTTTTGGGGGGGGGGAATTGATAAATTTAATGTTTATTCTCTGGATTTTACGATGATTTCCACAGTTATTTTGGTTTTTTTTTCTGTTTTTGTCGCATTTCTTTTATTTTTTTAATGGAGAGGAAAATGCTCTGCTAAATAGACATGTTTTCGGATATCGACGGAAGTCGCGAGCGTCGCTTGCATCCGTTTTAATTATTCCACGAGAATACGAGAAACCCCGAGAATACGAGAAACAGGGATATATCCACATAATTATATCACTCCAAAACCAAAATAATAATTTTATTACCCTTCCCCTGCCGAGTTAAGACGATTTTAATATAAATCATTGCTACTTCAAATGAAACGTCGAAATAAGATTCCTTTTAGGGTACCCCTTCTCCAAAACATGACGTCACATAAATACATGACGTATTTCTTTCGAAACTAACGAATGTAAACAAGAGAAAAGGAGTAGTCTGTTGAACGCACTTTTTTGGAATTAATTTCAAGCTTTCACAAGGTCATACTGATGAGAATATGTATCATTTCTCTATTTTGGTAAATATTTATCATTTGACAGTGAAAAGGTGCTTGTAAATCGGAATTTACATCGCGTAAAATCAACCCGTACGCGCATCGCTACAGCGCATGTTGTTTACAATGTAGGGTACCCAACGGGGAAATTTAGTGTATATATTACCCGCCTGGCTCGGTAATATCAATTTCTTTCGGATGACCAATATCCAATCAAAAAGTAGGAAAAAATCTGGAAGGGTAATAAATATATTTTCTGTCTTGTATCCAATCTATATACTTATCCGCTTATTATAAGTCTGTTAAAATAAACTTAAGCATTGTATAGCGTAGGATTATTTATTTTTGCGTACCATATCCATCATTTTCAAAAGTAAGAACTTGACTAGACATGTATAAACGTATACAAAACCATGAATAGTACGTTTTACATGTAAAGTCAAGTTTTTGTTTCTATACATAATGTTGGTATCCGCGTTATATATTAAGACACTTAATGATAAATTTCATTCGATATTCAAAAATGTGATTTACCGAAAAATATTTTAAAGAATTATACCAAGCTTCCCACACAATGCCGATGAGTTTCTGGATTACGTAAACCTAGAATGTACCTTGAACATTTGTTAGATGTACAGTCACACCTGTGAACAAAGCTCAGCCAATGTTAAGACTAAACCTGACTTTTATTGATAAGTTGTCTTTATCTTGAGGTAACAATATTCTATTCAATCAACAAAGGTGTGTAAAAGAGTGGTCTTTATGTACAGGATGATTTATTTCGGAAGTTGTCTTTACTGCCGGTTTGACTGTATCTTCTCAGTATCACTGGCTCTATCCATACCAAATATTTCTGATAAAACCTCAAACAAATGAATCTTTAAAGAATGTGTTCATCTAGTTAGTTGAAAAACCGGAAACGGCACATGTTTAACTAGCTCTATTTTATAATGTTTATGTAAAAATGCGCGAAAGTGCTTCTGACATTTTAAACAAATCATGGTCTTCGTTTTGTTAACATTCATTTTCATATACCATGTATAACAGTAATTCTGGACATTCGAAACCACACCATATATCCAGATAGTATCAGCGCGAGAATGATACCGGTCAACGCAGAGAAAAACTTTTTTCATTTACTTTATTTTAATAGATTTGTTTAAACCCTTTGCTTCCTCTTAGAAAAAAGTAAAACATAGAAAGTCGAGCGTTATCCCGCTCGGAGGTTGCTCTTGTTATACTTTCATATATATTATACTTATTTAGTTAAAATTAAATCTTTCTTGGCGATTTAAACGTGAGAACGTTAAGAATACATTAATTGTGGTTTTGATATTTTCAGTTCACTGCAAATAAAATAACGTTTTCCCTTATATATTCTAATGATATACCCCACGAACTTGTAGTGTCTGTTAATGTCATTGTAAATGTTAAGTATATGAGAGTAAAAAAAGAACAGAAACTACAACATCTTCAACACAACAAAAATGATAACAAGAATTGTCGGAGGACAGTAAGGCTCGACTATTTGAAAAAGTTGTCACAATGGTATTTTATTGAGTATAATAATGCTTACCTATGAATACATAAAATTGACCGAAAAAGTACAAAGGCTTGTTATTAAGATGTTTTATCAAGTAGATCATTGCTTTATTATTATTAACGCATAAAATTGTCCCAAAAAGGTACAAACCCTTCAGTAGTTATGGAGATAACAGCTTACAAGCAAAACTTTACCATGAATTTCTAAAGGGAGAAAAATCAGCCCAAACGCAAGATAGAATTATGGATCTTGGGTCAGTGACCTACAATTATGACCCTAAATGCATATGTGAAGTTTTATATAAATATATTTGAAGTATGAAGTTGATACCTTAAGAAACAAGCAATTATCATAGTATTGCAAGCAATCATTAAGTCCCCTACCGGTTAGTACCCCAGCAACATTCTGATGGGCCATTGGCCATTCAATTTTACCAGTGAATGAATGACATGAATTAACTTAAATCTTTTGAGTTCTAAGTTTGTCTATATCACAGTAATGTGTTAAGTTTCCCTGCCTTGTAAGGAAATTATGTTAATACAACCTTGTCATACTATTACGATGTGGGATTTAAAAGTAAATCCTTTAAGAATAAAGAAGTTGGAGTGAAAAATACAAATATCTCGCAAAAAATCTAAGTTCAAGGGGGACATAATTCTGGAAATAGTCTTGCTAGAGTATTTAATCTTCTCAAAAATGTTGAATGATAATAAGAAACATATATATGAAGTTTGAAGTAGATACATTAGGAAATAAAGAAGTTATTTAAAAAGGACAACTTTTTTTTATTAAAATTCTAAGTTCAAGGGAGGTAGTACTGATAATTTTTGTGCTAGAGTTGTAAACCTTGTCACATATGATGTGGTTGATGACCAGAAACTTATATTTAAAGTTTGAAGTAAACATCTTAAGAAATAAAGAACTTATAGTGAAAAAGCTGAAAAAATTAAATAAGAAATCTTGAAATTCAGAATATTTGTTGCCATAGCAACCAGAATTTTTAACATAGGAAGAAAGGAAAAAGATGAGCAAAATCTCCAGACTGCCATCTACCTATATTTCAAGTTTCATAAAAAATATTTTCAATACTTATTGAGTTATCACTGGATCCAGTTTATGTGTTAAATTTGCCATATTTTCAGACTATTTGTTGCCATATCAACCAGAATTTTCAACATAGGAAGAAAAAAACAAGAAGTGCATAGTTTCCATACTGCCATCTATTCATATATCAAGTTTCATAAAAAATATTTTCAGTACTTTTTGCGTTATCGCGGGATCTAGTTTTGTGGACGGACGGACGGACTGACAGACAGACGGACAGACAGACAGGCAGACGGACGGAGGGTAAACCTGAAGTCCCCTCCGGTTAAACCGGTAGGGGACTTATAAAGAAGTAACAGTAAATAACAGTGTTATAAGGAAAATTATAAGTTCAAGGGGAGATAAATCTGAAAATATTGGTGCTAGAGTTATGAACCTTGTCACATAACATGTGGTTAATGATAAGGTACATATATTTTCTCTATATACTTCGTTTAGTCGAGCTAAAATGATTTCTTTAATTATTACTCATCTATCAGCCTGCCTAGCAATACACAGATGGAACATCACATCTTCCTTGTCTCATTAATAACTTTGGAAGAAAAAAAGCATTGGTGTGAGTCACTTGTTAGGGACCTTGACCTTGGTCAGAAGATGACCCCTATTGTTTTTTAGGTCAGTAGGTTAAAATCAACATGGCCTTGATAACAAAAATGGATTATATTATCAAGCAATATATACTTCAGTGCTTTCGGTGCTTTGATTTGTTTCTAAACTTAATGTATCAGGAAGGTAAATGATAAAACTTACCAAATATTCAAAATTGTGATTTCCGAAATACGTTTAAAAGAATTATACCAAGCTCCTCATACAATGCAGATGAGATTATGGATTTACGTAAAACTAAATGTACATTGAAAATTTGTTTGATGTACAGTCAAACCTGTGAATAAAGGTCAACCAAAGGAGAGACTAAACATGGCCTTAATAAGTAAGTGGTCTTAATCTGGAGGTAAAAATATTCTTTTTAATCAACAAAGGTTCATCGAAGAGTGGTATTTATGTACAGGGTGATTTTTATTCGGAGGTCGTCTTTACTGCAGGTTTGACTGTATCATTTCAGTTTCAGTGGCTCTATTCGTACCAAATATTTCTGATCAGAAATTCCGTATTTGCCCAATTAGACATGGACCAAATTATCTTTTAAGAATGGCTTTTGTTATAGTTTTACATATTAGTAGAATTAAAAGCATTCTTAGTGATTTAAACATCATTAAGTTTGAATAGGATTTGATATCTGAACGTTAAGAATACGTAATGTGGTTTAGTAATTTCAGGTCACTGCATATATAGAATAGCAATTTCCCTTATATACTCTTTAAACAGTTAAAGATAACCCCGCGATCTTGAATTGTCTGTAAGTATCATTTTAAATGTAAAGTCTATGACAGTAACAAAACAAAATGAAAAAGAACAGAAACTGTATTAAGAATTTTACAAACTAAAACATCTGCAACTGAACACAAACAAAAACTTCTTTACAACAAAAGAGTCACAACAGAAACAATACATATATACAATTGATTCATGATAGTTATCAAAGAAACAAAAATAAGGGAAATAAATATATATGTATGAATAATATTTGTAACCAATGTTTCTTGTCATTGAATGCGTCTCCAACCAGCGTCGTTGATTTATTTATTTATCACTGGAATCACAACTAGTTACATAACTGAATTTATCTACTATATTTAAATATCTTAGAAGTTTAACTTTAATGGCCATTGTGACTCAACATATGCTTTTTAATGGAATCACCTCGAGAATGTGATTTGTCACATATTTCACACTTAGACATTTTATCGCAAGTGTGAATGGTCATATGGCGTTTAAGAGCACTGCTTTGCAAAAACATTTTATCACATATTTCACACTGATGTCTCTTAATACCCATGTGAATGTTATGTGATTGTTAAGAGTCTAAGACCAGTTTTGCGAGTAAATGATTTACCACATAGATCACATTTATAGTTCTTGGTTCCAGTGTGAATGGTCATATGTTTTCTGAGGTCACTACTTTCATAAAAGGTTTTTTGACAAACCCCGCACACGTTGTTCTTCTAACCAATATGAATTTTCAAATGACTGTTAAGATTACTTTTAAATCTGAATGACTTATCACAGACTTCACATGTGAAATTCTTCTCGCCTGTGTGTGTTCGTAAATGGCTTTTAAGGTGGCCTTTAAGAAGAAATGATTTTTCACAAATTCCACATGTAAACCTTTTTTCACCAGTGTGATTTGCAGTGCTTATATGTTTTTTCAGCTTGCTTGCATAAAGAAATGTTCTGAAACAAATTTCACATCTATGAAACTTCTGACCGGCATGAGTTAAAACATGCGCCTTGAATTGATTTCGTCTGATGAATGCTTTTGAACAGATTTCACATTTGTATTTCTTCTCACCTTTGTGGATTATTAAATGAGCTGTAAGGTTGCTTCGTTGGGTAAATATTTTAGTACAAATTTCACATTTATGTTTTTTTTCGCCACTGTGAATTTCCATATGCCTTTTTAGATTAGATTTAATATTGAATGAAATATCACATATTTCACAAGCAAATTTCTTTTCACCGGTGTGAATTGACAGGTGCCTTTTAAGATTACCTTTACAATTAAATGATTTATTACATATTTCGCATGCAAAGTTCTTTTCACCAGTGTGAATTGTTATGTGACTTTGAAGATGAGAGCTTCTTGAGAATGCTTTGCCACAATTATCACATTTATAATTCTTCTCACTCTCACCAGTGTGAATGCGGATATGTCTTTTCAGGGTACTAATGTACGAAAATGATTTATCACATGTATCACAAGCAAAGTTCTTTTCACGAGTGTGAATTGTCATGTGCTTTTGAAGATGAGAGCTTCTTGAGAATGCTTTGCCACAATTATCACATTTATAATTCTTCTCACCAGTGTGAATACGGATATGTCTTTTTAGGGTACTAAGGTAAGAAAATGATTTATCACATGTATCACATCTAAAATGTTTCTCACTTGTGTGAATCGCCATGTGTGTTTTAAGTTGACTGTCATGAGAGAAAAGCTTATTACAAATTTCACATCTACAGTTCTCCTCTCCGGTAATGCTCATCATTTCTGTTTCAATACAATTTCCTGAACCTCTTTATTGAACTGCCTACAATTTTCTGCTTTACGATCAATTTCCTGTGTTAACAAAGAAACTCATATACTTAATTTCAAATAAATAATGGGTAGATCTACATAATCAATTTTAGAATCGATTTTATTTTTTCCTCTCATATTCAAACGAATTTAATTTTTGTTTGTTCTTAAATTTAATCCATATATACATTTATACAGTCAATGTATAACAAATAATAATTAAAGCAATTAAAAGTGTTTCCTCTTTTCTTAAAAATAAATATTAACTATATAAATAGTTGAAAAAATATGATCGATAATTTATTGACGTATACATTCAGTACATAGTCATATTACACACTTTTATATAGTACAATCAAACACAATATCATGGTACATGAACAAAGTTGTAGCACAAATTTTCAATTTACATATTTTTGGAGAATGAACGTTAACACCATTTAGTACTAAAGTGAGCTTATCTATTATAAAGCGTTTACATTCTTAAAGGTATAAAAAATGGATTTTAAACTTAATTATATGATGTGATAAGATTCCATTTAACAATGTTTCATACTATAGACACATTATCAAGTAATTTCAAGAAATAAACAATATAACATTTAAATACAACGAGACAAATTTATACATTGATTTACAGAGCATTTAGTAGTTCAATTCAATGTTTTGTAGCATAATACAAATATTTACCTAAACCTATTAATTCAGACTTCTTTTCAGTACTTAATAATTCAATCAATTTGAACATACTTGGTCTTCTGTAGTAGTATTGCTTAATGTAAAGAGAACGTATATTAGAGTAACTAATACAAACACATATAAAATGGAATTCATCTTCTATTTCATTACTATCGCAAAGCTGACATATGCGTTCCTCTCGGGGTATTCTATTAGCACCATATCTACCTGTTTCAATCCGAAGTTTATGTGACGATAATCTTAATCTTGCTATGCAATTTCTATAAGTTCTGTTATGGAGAATTTTCAGGTAGTTTGCCATTTCAAATGAGTTATGCAAATGTACATATATATTACTAAACAATGGACTGTTTGAAATATCGCTAGAAAGTTTTTGCAAAAAGCAGTCAAACATCCTTTGTTTAAAAAGTTTAACAAAATATTTGGCTTCGTATTGAAATGGGTTGTTCCAAACATCAGAAAACACGTACTCATTTAATATTCCATGCACTTTAGAAGCCCAACATTGATTGTTGTTTTCATGTAATTCAAATGAAGCGTACATAGCAGTTTTCAAAATGATATTATCGCTATTAATTATTTTAAGCCAGAATGTAATAATTTGCACATATCGTTTAATAAATAATGGATAACGACCTAATTCGCTATATATTGCTGCAGTACAAGTACTTTGTTTCACTCCTAATAAAGATTTACAGAATTTAAGATGTAATCGCTCTATATCCTTTGATTTAGAAAATCCCCAAACAGCACTAGAATAGCTGAGAACTGAACCGACAAAAGAGTCAAAAAGCTGCAACGCAATGCTAGGGGTTAACTCATATTTATTGATGTTCTTTAATAAAACAGACATTGCCTTTAAACCTTTACCAATTACGTATTGATTATTAAGTGTAAAAGACCCATTGTAATTAAAAACTACGCCTAGATAGTTGAAATTGTCGGCAATTTCTAATAGAATATCATTATAATACCAATTTTCATTATCTTTTAAAGGCCCTCTTTTCCTAAAAACCATTATTTTGGTTTTATTTGTATTCACCTCTAAACCCCATTTCATACAATATTCATATAATTTATTTAAACTATTTTGTAAATCCATAGGAGTTTTGGCAAGAATAGCCATATCGTCTGCAAAAAGCAAAATAATTAAGCACAAATCGAATAATGAAATACCACTATCAATATTTTCTTGTAGAAAAAGTTCAATATCCTCTAAAAACAGAGAAAATAAAATTGGCGAATTATTTAGGCCCTGTTTCAAACCCAGCGAAATATCGAAAAATTCTGTAAAAGTGTTACAATGTTTTACACATGACTTCACAGTAGCGTACATTGCTTTGAATATTCTAAGTATTTTTCCATCCAAACCAACCTTACAGAGCTTAAACCATAAAGCATTCCTGTACACAGAATCAAAGGCCTTCTTTAGGTCTATAAAAGCGCAATAAAGACGTAACTTTTGTGATAAGAAATATTCGATTAACGAATTTAAAACGATGGCACATGTAATATGTACTGTATAAATTCTCACAACAAATACAAATTCGAAACTCCATTTTTAATTTTCTTAGGAAAGGCTACCATAGAATAACATAAATGCAATTATCAATAGCATGGGCATTATCCTAGGCTGTTATGTTTAAGGCTGATAAACATTTTTGAATATCAACTGTTGGCCAATCATCATTTTAACAGCCGATCTTTTGTAATATAAAGTCAATTCAGCTCAATTTGACAATGAAAAAAGAGCATACATGTTTCTTTAAGTAACAGGTTAGATAAAATTATATTTACCCTGGGTCATGTCATAAGTTAACCCGATAGAGCTAATTTGCTTTATCCTCACGATGTCAATTTACAAAACTTGCAAAAACTTCTAAGCATACATTAAAGACACTAACTTAATAAGGTTATTCATATCAAATTGGCATGGAATAAATATTTGAATAGAAAATATAATTAGAATTTACCCGAGTCTCCACTTATTATAATGGAGAAATGAAATCAAAGGGGAGTTACTCTGTAAGAATTACGGACATTTCGGACCACGGACGTTTCGGACCAGACACTTCCGACAAGATTTTTAGGTCATTTCGGACCAGATTTTGGGACATATCGGACCATAAGATGGTCATTTCGGACCATGATGGAGACATTTCGGACCAGAAATGTTTATTCAATAGACCTTTTATTTTATTTTTTATATATAATTATGTAGTACTGTATGGTACTGGTTACGGGAGTTGACGGAAGTTAACGGAAGGTTCCGGACGAACCGGAACTAGTGTGTTTAGTCTGACAGTTGGGCGCCATATTGTTGTAATATATACTCAGAAGAATTAGGCAATTTCTAGCTTGGCTACGATCCAGACGTGGAAGGTAAGTCGATTGTTTGTATTGTCAATCCCTTTATAATCAATCGCGACAGTTCTATATTGGTGGCAGCGGTAATTTTTACGAATTCCGTTCCGAAAGATAGACGCTACCAAAGGTCCATATTTTTACCGATTGTGTACGAATTTGCCCTCAAATTCTGCACTCATAGAACGAAGTCTACCTGAATTCTTGGTTTTGTTCATAGTGGGCCAATCTGCTTGAACGATTTAAACCAGAATTTCTACGTAAATAATCGTAGTTAAGCGGGAATTTGCCATCAAATTCCGCTTAGGTTAGACGTTGCCTGGAAGGACCAAATTCTTTGGAATTTGTTTATTTTTCGGATTTCCTTTTCGTTCTGCTGCCACTGGTACAGTAACTGTTATATTTTGATAAACTCCATTTAGCCCTTTTGCCATATAAAGGGGGAGAAGATAGATACTGAGATTTATTTAGTTAAAACACATTTTAACTTGAATATTTCTCGGTATCTTTCGTTGTTATGGAGAACATCAATATAAAGGGAAAGTTCGAGATATTTTCTCAGGAAGCAGAGGTTGTGCAACCACCCTTGGTTGCCATTAACTTTGCGTCTGAGGAAAGGCTACAGGCAATACCTAATGTGGGTGCAAGCCTAGCCAAGGCGCTCATTGCAGTGAGGGAGAGCTCTGGTATTATAACCAGGGAGATTTTAGAGGCTGTCTGTCGTCGCAAGTTCTCCCCTGAGATACTTGCTATGATAGACTTTAGACAGAATATGTCTCTGCCAGCTGAGAATACTGACAAGCTAGGCCAATCTAGCTTGGAGGTAGACACAGACGAGGACGAGGAGGAAGATATTCAGCCAAGTGCACATGATTGGTTGGAAATGGTGAAGGTGGTGAAAGCGGCAACCAATGTTCTGGCCGCTCACAAGCAGCAACAACGGTCATCTGTTTGCACCCTTGCAACAGATGACAAGGTTTTTCCACATAAAAATCTGAAGTTGATGACTCCTGCGGATTTTACTGCCAAAAAGTCAAAATCCACACACCCCCCTACCTTACCACTTCCAGACTATACCACCCCTAAACGTACCATACGTTTTGACCAGGTAGTGGATAGTGATTGCAGTGATGACTCTGTGTTCGCCAGGGCACCAATTGCCCATAGGCGTTCTAGGGTTCGTAACCGGATATCTGCCTTTCCCGAACACTTATCATATGATGGTAAGAGTACTTGGGAACCGTTCTTTTTAAAGTTCACTCGCTATGTCCAACAAGGCGAGTGGACTGATGAAGAACAAGTTAGCTGCCTTGTCTGGTGTTTAGATGGTAAAGCGCTAGAGTATTATGCGCTTATCTGTGAACAAGAAGGTCAGCTTACCTACAAGAGGCTGGTTAGCAAGTTGGCTGCCCGATTTGGCCAACATGAGTTGCCAGCTGCTGCACAGGTAAGTTTTCAGAATGCAGCACAAGAGACAACCGAGTCCCTAGATGAGTGGGCTGACCGAGTGCTCACTCTAGGTTATAGAGCTTTTAAGAAGCTGCCAGAGGAGTTTGTCACTGTCCAAACAGTGAACAGATTCTGTCAGGGTATGGTTGACAAAGAGGCCGGTCACCATGTTTGCATGCAGCAACCAGAGTCTGTGCATGCAGCCATACAAATGGTACGCCAGTACCAGCAGGTGTATGCAGCCATGTATGGTGACCGGAAGAAACCGGAAAAGGTTTTTGCTGTTGCATCCCAGCCATCACGGGAGCAGCAGGCAGAGCCTATGTCAACCAATGATTTAAGCAAAGCCTTAAATGACCTGGAGCAAAGACTGACAAAAACCTTTTTGTCAGAATTGTCCCAACCCCGCAGATCAACCGGATGCTACAATTGTGGCGAAATAGGGCATTTCAAAAGAAATTGCCCAAAGCTTAACGACAACCAGAAGTCGTTAAACTAGAAAGGGACGGTGAAAAAGTAGGTCGTTTCCCGTCCCTGTCTGCAGACAAGACCTGCAAAATTAAAAAATCCCGGTTGGCTGCCAATTTCAGCCAAGTAAGCACGGGGGGAGTCGAACCAGACCCTATTGTTGTCTGTCAGGTCAATTCCTCTTCCCAGTTTACCATGGGGGTCCAAGTAGGGGATGTCCAAGTAACAGCAGTGGTAGATACTGCTGCCCAGGTGACCATCATTTCTGATAAGGTTTACAATTCCCTGAAGCACAAGCCCCCCAAGATAAGGGATGTCGAGCTGCAAACGGCTGGCAGGGAATTGTCTATGGCAGCCTTTGTAGCCGGTCCGGTTAAGTTGAAGGTTGGTCACCAGTGGTACCAGGTCAACATGTTTGTTGCCCCCATTGAGCAACAAATGCTGTTGGGCTTTGATTTGCTTCGTGACCCTGGCAAATCTGTGCTAGACATGAGCAAGGCAGAGCTTTACTTTGATGGTATGCGCATCTCCCTAGATGTCCATTCATCAGATAGTCCCTTGGTATCCAAGGTCACGGTGTCTAAGAGACAGGTTATCCCTCCACACTCTGTGGCGAGAGTCCAATGCAAGTTACACTCTCCCCTGCATAGCTATATCGTGGAACCAGTGAACCAGAAGAAATTTCTGGTTCCCCGAGTGTTACATGAAGGCACTAACACCCCTGTGTTGTGTCTTGTTAATCCATCAGATAGCTACCGCCTTGTCAGGAGGGGAACAGAGATAGGGAGGGCATTTGCCATCAGTGAAGTTGTCAGGAATGAGTGTGATGTTGAAACATCTTTGCCCAGCAAAGTGTTTGAAACATCAGGTGCGGTTGGTCCAATACCACCACACCTGCAGGAGGTCTATGACACCTCTTGTGGCAGCCTTGATGAAGGTCAACGGATTCAATTAGCGCAATTGCTGATTGAGTTCCAAGATGTCTTCATCAAGGGTGAACTTGACCTTGGTGACTTCACTGATAAGGAACGTGATATAGATACCAAGGAGGCAAAGCTTGTGAAGCAAGGTATGAGGCGAAAGCCAACATGCTTTGCAGGGGAAGAAGAGGGCCAGCCTCAGGGAATGCCGAAGGCTGGGGATGTACAAGATGCCACATCCAAATGGGCATCTGCTCCAGTTTTGATAAGAAAACATGACGGCTCTGTGCGTTATTGCATAGACTATAGGACGTTGAATAAGGTTACAGTCAAAGACGTGTATCCTTTGCCTTTAGTCGATGATTGCATGGACACATTTGCTGGCAGTGTTTGGTTTTCAAAATTGGATGCCAACTCCGCATTCTTCCAGTTGAACATCAGAGAAGGCTTTGGTTTGTGTGGTGCCCCAGCCACATTTGCCAGAGCAATGGACTTAGTCCTGAGAGTTTGACATGGAAGACAGTCCTGGCATTTCTCGATGATATCATCGTGCTTGGACGCAATTTTGAGGACCATCTCTCAAACTTGCGGGAGGCTCTTTCGAGATTTCGGAGGCATAAGCTAAAGCTTAAGCCGAAGGAATGTATCTTCTTCCAACAAGAAGTAGAGTTTTTAGGCCGTAAAGTCGGCAAAGACAGCATTGCTATGACAGAACATGACATAGCAGTGGTGAAGGATTGGCCTGTTCCAAACAGTGCCAAGCAGGTAGAGAGGTTTATGGGGTTGGTAAACTATCATAGAGTGTTTGTTAAGGACTTCTCTAGGGTAGCAGCCCCATTGTACGCCGTCACAGGCAAAGCCAACTTTGTCTGGGGCGAAGAACAAGCAGAGTCATTCAGGACTTTGAAGTGCTTGTTGACGCAACCTCCTGTGTTAGCGTTGCCAAATCAACATGACGAATTTATCTTGGAAACGGTCGCTTCCAATGATTCGATTGGAGCAGAGCTCTTGCAGGTGCAAGAGGGCCAAGAGAAAGTTATTGCTTTTGGTAGCTGTGCTCTTACCAAGGAGCAACAGGGTTATTGCATGACCAGGAAAGAGCTGCTAGCAGTAGTTCGGTTCACCAAACAGTTCCGACACTACTTGCTAGGAAGACCATTTGTGGTCAGGACTGACCATTCAAGTCTGAGGTGGTTGATGAATTTCAGGGAGCCACAAGGGCAACTGGGGAGATGGCTGGAAGAGCTGTCCCAGTTTAACATGGTGTTGAGACATCGTGTGAGTCGCGAGCATTCCAATGCTGACGCAATGTCAAAAATACCACTGCAAAGTGGGACATGCCGAGGTGGAATTGCTGGTGCGCGGCTGGATCAGTTGCCTTGTGGTGGATGTGAAGATTGTAAAAAGGCCCATACCAATTGGGTCAAGTTCTTCACAGATGTAGATGAGGTGGTACCGTTGGTAACCAAACCAGTGGAGTCTTCGGATTCCGGTTTCGGTGGCCATCAGGGTACCAGGGTTTCTTTCATCTACGGGATTGATTTTCACGAAAACCAATCAGATGCAGACGGCCAGCCGGTCCTTGCCAATGAGGTCGGTGAGCATGGTCAACAGTTCCTCTCTGAAGGCCAAATCTTCAGTGGAGGGGAAGAGAAGGTAAGTATAGGTTGCGTTAGAGACCGAACATCTGATATCAGGGCCATTCCTGATAATGTAGATGTGCCGTTGCTGGCACCGATTTTAACGGATATTCCCTGTGGCCAGCAAGGATATCGGTGCCCAGTGCCGGGATGTTATGAGGATCTTACCCAGAGACATGCTATGGAGGCCCACCTCCCTGGCATATTCCAAATGTGTTTGACAGGTGAAAGCATTACAAACAGAAGGATTGGTGCTTTGAAGCTGGTGGTCAGGTGGTTATTGGGGTCTAATAGCACTTTGTTTGACCTCGTAACGTACCTAGAGTGTGCTGGTGTTCCGGTTTCTCAGGAAACTTGCACCAGTAATCACAGGAAAGCAGCGAAGGAGTTCTGTGAGGTTCTTAGGGTACCCTTGCCCAAAGATCTCACCCCAAAGGTAAAAGGTAATGCTGTGACAGTTTTGTTGCAGTGGCGCTGTCTACTGTCATTGATATCCATGCTGGAAAGACACCAGGAAGACAATCTGAAAGCCATGTTCAGCTTGTCAGCTAAGGAGTCCCAACTCCTTAGCTTTCCTAAAGTGTCTGACAGCCATTGAGTGTCTGGGTTTGAGGCTTGGCTGAAATTGGTACGGTTCAGTCAAGTAGGCCATGTTGTCCAGCCCTCTGGCATCATGGTCAAGTACCAGTACCGGTTTGAACCGGGAAGCTCTAGTCTGCCCTTGGACTAGAGAGGCGTCAGTGCTTGGTTAACTTCCTGGAGCCACAGACCCCTCCTTAAGAATAGGACGGGGAGGAGTGTAGTACTGTATGGTACTGGTTACGGGAGTTGACGGAAGTTAACGGAAGGTTCCGGACGAACCGGAACTAGTGTGTTTAGTCTGACAGTTGGGCGCCATATTGTTGTAATATATACTCAGAAGAATTAGGCAATTCCTAGCTTGGCTACGATCCAGACGTGGAAGGTAAGTCGATTGTTTGTATTGTCAATCCCTTTATAATCAATCGCGACAGTTCTATAATTATTTGTTATTTTAGATTGTCATTACAATATTTTCTTTTAATAAATGCAACAAATATTTGACATTTTTAAATTTTGTGACATTCAAAATGCATGCAGAAAAGACCGGTCTGACAAGATTTTCACATTTCCTGACAAGCTTATATATAGATCTCTAATATTGTTTTGATTATCCATGTAAAAATTTATCATAATTCATTTATGAATTTCTATACGCTGACATATATTTAATATTGAAAGAAATGTTAAAACAATAATAGAATGCTTTTAGAACTATATTGGTAAGTGTTGGATATATTTATGCGAATGCCCTTCATACAGAATATGGATAATGATACGCTATGTTTAACTTAGCTAAAAGAATTGAAATTGATTTACATACCTGTTTAATCAACTATTTGATAACGTGCACAATAAGTACCCACACACGCTGAATATACTTATTTTAAGTCAATTTTAATCAAATTAAATCGTGTTCTGAGAGGAATTAAAGAAAAAAGACATCCTTGACTATGCAGTTTTTTTCACACGTTTTAATTGCTCAATAGAACTCGTTTAAGTCACGTTTCACTCAATTAAAGAAGTATGTATACTAATTATATTAATGTGGATTATTTATATTTTATTTTACATGAAAAAAATGTTTTGTTAGATCCACAAGGATCAATAATTATTTAAATGTATACATTCATTTGCATGTATATGTATGATTTGTGATATTAGAATATGTTGTAAATAGTCATGTCTTTTTTATATATACATGTACTATATATAATTTTTTTTTTGAAAAGTGTTTCACAAAAACATTTCTTTTTTAATTTTCTTTATTTATAGTGCAAAAGATATAAAATCTAAATCTGGATAGGTGTAAAATTGTTCTATAGTGCCTCATTATCATATATACTAAAGTTACTCTTTAGTTTATAGAATAAGTTTGATGCATAATATATCAAAAAATAATATTAAATCTGGTTCGAAATGACCATGGTCCGAAATGTCCTATTACCCTCTGGAAACAAGAAAAATATTATATTACATACATTCGTATGTATATAATTAAGGTACGATTGCATACTAAATATTGTGAAGACTTGTTATGCTTGCTGTATGAGAGGTGTTATATAAAATGAACAAACATGTCATCAGATATTTCATATTTTTAAACGTTTTCATGGAATGTTATAAATATATTATAATATTAAAGTTTCATGCCTACTGTTTCAATAAAAGAACAATGCATGATCAATTTACTGCTTTAAAACATTAACACAAAATTACACATCTTCCACTGAACAGACCATATGAAAATCTTGCAAACCCACAGAAATAGAAATGTAATCAATAAAACCCCGTTTTTCCCAGCGTATTTCTTTGTTTTCTGAACTTTTAAATCTGATCACCGGTTTATTTATAACATAATTAACACGGACACGATCTTTTTTCTTTCTTTTTTATATACATCTTAAGTCTGAATAGGATTTGATATCTGAACGTTATGTGGTTTTGGTATTTTCAGTTCACTGCAAACAGAATAACAATTTCCCTTATATACTCTTTAAACAGTTAAAGAGAACCCACACGATCTTGAATTGTCTGTATCATTTTAAATGTAAAGTCTATGACAGTAACAAAACAAAATGAAAAAGAACAGAAACTGAATTAAGAATTTTACAAACTACAACATCTGCAACTGAACACAAACAAAAGCTTCTTTACAACAAAATTAAGAGTCACAACAGAAACAATACATATATACAATTGATTCATGAAAGTTATCAAAGAAACAAAAATAGGAGAAATAAATATAAATGTATGAGTTATTCTTGTAACCAATGTATCTTGTCATTGAATGCGTCTCCAATCAGCGTCGTTGATTATTTATTTATCACCGGGATTACAACAGGTTACATCACTGTTACATCACTGAGTTTATCTACTATATTCATATATCTTAGAAGTATACCTTTAATGACCTGTGTGACTCAACATTTGCCTTTTAAGGGAATCACCTCGAGAATATGATTTGTCACATATTTCACACTTAGACACTTTAACGCAAGTGTGAATGGTCATATTGCTTTTAAGTCTACTGCTCTCCAAAAACATTTTTTCACATATTTCACATTCATGTCTCTTGATACCCATGTGAATGGTCTTGTGCTTGTTAAGACCAGATTTGTGAGTAAATGATTTACCACATAGATCACATTTATAGTCTTTGGTTCCAGTGTGAATGGCCATATGTTTTCTGAGATCACTACTTCCATTAAAGGTTTTATGACAAACCCCACGTACATATTGTTCTTGTCACCAGTATGAATGTTCATGTAATTTTTAAGACCATATTTGCGAGTAAATGATTTACCACAAATATCACATTTATAATTCTAAATTCCTAAGTGAATGGCCATAAGTTTTCTCAGATCACTACTTTCATAAAAGGCTTTATGACAAACCCCACATACATTGTTTTTTTTCACCAGTGTGAATTTTCAAATGACCTTTAACATTATATTTGAATCTGAATGACTTATCACAGACTTCACATTTGAACTTCTTCTCGCCACTGTGAATTACCATATGCCTTTCTAGATGATATTTAATACTGAATGATTTATCACATATTTGGCATGCAAAGTTCTTTTCACCAGTGTGAATTGTCATGTGCCTTTGAAGATTAAAGCTAGTTGAGAAAGCTTTACCACAATTATTACATTCATAACTCTTCTCGCCAGTGTGAATGCGGATATGTCTTTTCAGGGAATTAAGGTAAGAAAATGATTTATAACATATTTGGCATGCAAAGTTCTTTTCACCAGTGTGAACTGCCATGTGCCTTTGAAGATTAAAGCTAGTTGAGAAAGCTTTACCACAATTATCACATTTATATTTCTTCTCACCAGTGTGAATGTGGGTATGTCCTTTCAGGGAACTAAGGTAAGAAAATGATTTATCACATATTTGGCATGCAAAGTTCTTTTCACCAGTGTGAACTGTCATGTGCCTTTGAAGATTAAAGCTGCTTGGGAATGTTTTGCCACAATTATCACATTTATAATTCTTCTCACCAGTGTGAATGTGGATATGTCCTTTCAGGGAACTATGGTAAGAAAATGATTTATCACATATTTCGCATGCAAAGTTCTTTTCATTAGTGTGAATTGTCATGTGCCTTTGAAGATAAAAGCTGCTTGGGAATGTTTTGCTACAATTATCACATTCATAATTCTTCTCACCAGTGTGAATGTGGATATGTCTTTTCAGGGTACTAAGGTAATAAAATGATTTATGACATATTTGACATGCAAAACTCTTTTCACCAGTGTGAATCGCCATGTGCATTTGAAGATGATCGCTTCTTGAGTATGATTTGCCACAATTATCACAATTATAACTCTTCTCACCAGTGTGAATTGCAATGTGCCTTTGAAGATGAGAGCTTCTTGAGAATGCTTTGCCACAATTATCACATTCATAATTCTTCTCACCAGTGTGAATGCGGATATGTTCTTTCAGGCGACTAAGGAAATGAAATGATTTATCACATGTATCACATCTACAATGTTTCTCACTTGTGTGAATCGCCATGTGTGTTTTAAGTTGACTGTCATTAGAGAAAAGCTTATCACATATTTTACATCTACAGTTGTCCTCTCCGGTAATGCTCATCATTTCTGATTCAATACAATTTCTTGAACCTCTTTATCGAACTCCCTACAATTTTCTGCTTTACAATCAATTACCTGTGTTTAGAAAGAAAAGCATATACAATGTACTTAATTTCAAATAAAAAGTGGGTAGATGAGATCTACCTAATCAATTTTAGAATCAATTTTATTATTTTTTTCCCTCTCATATTCAAACGAATTTAATTTTTGTTTGTTCTTAAATTTGATCCATATATACATTTATACAGTCAGTGTTATAAAAAATAATAATTAAAGCAATTAATAGTGTTTCCTCTTTTCTTAAAAAAATATTAAACTAGTTGAAAAATATTGCACATGTAATATGTTCTGTACAAAATTATCACAACAAATACACATTCGAAACACCATTTTTTATTTTCTCAGGAAAGGCTACCATAGAACAACATAAATGCAAATTATCAATAGCATGGACATTATCCTAGGCTGTTATGATTTAGGCTGATAAACATTTTTCAATATCAACTGTTTGCCAATGATCATTTAACAGCCAATCTTTTGTAATATAAAGGCAATTCAGCTCAATTTGAAAATGAAAAAAGAGCATGATACATGTCTCAACAGGTTAGGTCTTATCTACCCTGGGTCATATCATAACCGATAGAGCTAGATTGCTTTCTCCTCACGATGTCAATTAAAAAACTAGCAAAACTTCTAAACATACATTAAAGACACTTACTTAATAAGGTTATTCATATCAAATTGGCGTGGAATAAATATTTGAATAGAAAATATAATTAGAATCTACCTGAGTCTCCACTTATAATAATGGAGTAATGAAATCAAAGGGGAGTTACTCTGTAAACACGTTCTTTAGAAATTAAACACAAGTAAACATATATACTGTTTCAAACAATAAATAAATTCAGTACAGCAATACAACGTGCCCATAAAGTCATTCTCGGCATCATTTCGCAAGACAAATATTGCTAGATTCGAAAAAAAAAGGCCGTAAACATTTTATTTCTGTACTAATTTCTATGGGATATGCACTATTCTACTGGGGAAAATATATATAAGCTTGCCACAGAACATTGGATCACTTTCAGTATACGGGTCGTTTGCTCAAACACTTTGTCAAACCTTGAAAGTTGTTTGTATACGACTGGCCTTCAGATGCAAGCTATTTCGTTTTCTTGCATTATCTGATCTTCGCCATAATTAAAAGTTCAGGTTTACATCCAACATCCTACCTTAATATGTTTATATTGTTATTTTCTAAGGCGGAAGCTTACCTTTTTCTTCAGCTGTAAATTATATGGTACCAGTTTTCAGAATTGGTTGCAAATACATATACGAAAAGCAGAATGTCCTCGTTCTGTTACTATAATTATGTTAACCACGAAAAACATACGATACAATGTATATTGAATGACGTATGCACAAATGATTTGTGCGCTATCTAGAACTGATTTTGAAAATTGTAAAATTGCTGTCTGTATTTGGAAAGAAATTGTTGTAAAATAATTTAGTGTCATGAACCAATATACCAGTCATGGACTTCAAAATAGAAAGAAAAACAACCATCGTTCTGTTAACATTTATTTTCATACCACATATAATTATGACACTTATAAGCCATAAAGATACCAATCAACGAGTAAAGATGAGTTGTTTCGATAGCCTGTAACTTCTTTTCATTTATTTGCAAGACTGTTCGTGAAGTTAGCCAGACAGCCGGAACAGCCGAGACCTATTTTGTTGTTCTGGCTGTTCCGGCGTTCGGCTGAACCGGCTAGCTTGAGATGATACATTAAAATCTGTACAAAAAACCGTTGGCTTATTTCATAACGGAATTTCATATTACTGTTACAGTAGTTAAAATACAAGAGTATTTCGTAATTGTGTTTTGATACATTCATTATAGCTGTATGCAATGTCATGTGTGACGAGAGGGACATAGTAAAATCGGAACCTCTGTTAAATATTCATGTTTCTTTTCACACTTTTTTTAATTTATAGGTATAATTATCGCTTAGAATTTAAATCTAGACGTTAAATATACAAAAAAATACATTTACTTAAAACCTTTACAAATACTTAAAACCTTTACAAATATTTCAATATTTTAAACAAGTTTTTTCTGATCATTTCCAGGGAAATAGAATATACGATTAAAATAGAATGACCCCATTACCTCGATATGGTCATTTCAGCTCAAATCTTGCCATTTCCGGCTGGCCCCTGCGAGCCCCAGGAGCCCCATATGGCGGGATGGTAAGGACCATGTGTCCGTTTGGGGTAAGTATGAGTATCCGCATAATAGAGTATAATATCAAAGGTTATTTTAGAAAAGCAGTTAAAACTAGTCAATTGTTGAGTCTTTCATCAATTTTATTTCGTTGTGTTTTTCTGTTGAATGTCTTATAATTATATTAATGTTAGAAACACACGAATCATAGAGTTCAAATATTTGTCACTTCCATTATTGGTTTGTTACCTTGTTCTACGGGATTAATAATTCTGATGAATGTTGTTTTAACTGGTATTAGGGACAAGAGAGGGTAAAACGTATTAAAATGTACTTTTCATGAACAAATTCATATACACCGAGTGTGCAACTTTCTACCATTTGTTTAGCTCACCTGCATCACTTAGTTTACATAAACTAACATAGGATAACGCATTTCATATTTTCTTTTTAAATGTCCTAGAGCTTACATGTTTGACATGTAGTATTGCCTTATAGACCTCTACTATAGTAACGTAAACAACTCCTCTTGCGGGGGGGGGGGGGGAACTGCCCCATCCAAAAGTCATATCTGTTACATTGCCTTTTATTATAGGAAATAAATTTCAAATTCTTCTCCTCGATATTTTGTCCAGATTTGGTAGATCTATCTTCTGCTACATTTATATGAATCATGTCTCCGGGATAAAACTTGACTCCTTCCTTCCTGAGGGTCACTAAGTTTACACAGACCCATATAGAAAAAAATGCATGTACATGTAAAATATTATTTATTGGAAGCAGGTTATATCCCGGCGGTTTGACCGCTAAACGACTTTACCAGTGATTAACATTATACTAGTATTCACAAATGACCGGCTATTACTCCTACATGCCAAAGAAATATACTCGTAAACATATGATAATACATGTAATTAGTATAACAAAATTGGCGTTGGAACCTTTGAAATGCTCATTTCGTTGATAAATATTGAGCTTTTGAAAGTTACATTTATTTAGTTTTTATTATCTACAGGTAAGTCCATAGGTTTGCATGAAACATTGTTTTGTGACTGAAGTGTTGTTAATAATTGATCAAACCCATCTAATGTCTTTACAACAAAAAGATGTTCTTCAACCGGTGTTGATACGTAATTGATGACCTTTCGTAACCCATAGGATGGAAACGAACCAATTAGAAACGAGAATACCCGAGACAGGCTACGCAGTGCAAAGGCTGAAACAATGGCGTCATCGTGACATTTTGAATAGCCGTCAGTCACTATCAGGACGTCTTTATCAACTTTGCTGTCCGAGCGTAAACCTGAAATGAGAATTGAAAACGAGTGTAGTGTGGAGATCAACATATAATGAACATTATTGTGTAAAACCTATACAATTAAACGTGAAAATAAATACAAATGCAAAAATGTACCAACATTTGAACTCAAATGCCCGTTTATGTTGTTCTTGTTGTTGTTTTGTTTGTATGTTTATTTGTTGTTGCTTTGACGTTGTTGTTGTTGTTGTTGTTTTGTGCTTTTTGTTTGTTTTGTTTGTGTTGTACACAATTATCTAATTCTTTACCTTTGAAGGAAATAGACCATACTTTTAATAAATCATGACATCTTGGATTACCTTTTGAGCTTGTTAACAATGCAGCAGTTATATTCAGGGCCTGGGCAGAGCATGATTGGTTCGAAGACATCGGAATATGAAGTAAAGCCTCTTTCAGTGCTGCTAATCCGTCACCATTGTCCTTGCCAAAGACTTGCACATTAGAATTCGACGCGTCAATTAGAACAGCGTGATTGTACATTGGGGCAAACGGATCCGGCCCCGGACAAAGCATTCCTAAAAGTTTTGCAATGTTGTGTTTCGTCCTATTGAATAATTCTTCTTCCAAACTTTCTAGTGAGTCGATCACAATAAGGAGGTCTCGAACATGATTTGGACTATTTGGGTGATCTGCATCCGGTTTCCGACGTATGAAATGCTCTGATAACGATTTTGCTGTTGCTTCTAAGTGCGCATGCGTGTCAGTTTGGATCTGTAGGGCGTCTAAACAAATATATCAATATGCTTGTTTAAGGATGATATATATATCTTGATATTGACAGAGCAGCTGTAAATTATATATACTAACGGCTTGAAAATATTACATTTATAAATGTTTATTAATATTGATATGGAGAGAGCAGCTGTGAATGACTCGAAAATATTAGCCGCGTTCACGTACACATATTAAACACCCTTTTCACTCGGGGTACTATGTGATTAATCAGTATCAAACGATACCATACAAATGCATTAAAATATTCTAAACACAACAAAAACTCTAATAGAAAATTTTGAGCTAACTGTGATAGAACTTTCAAATTTTGTGTTTAAATATAATTGATTACATTGAATTAAACGAAATTGCCAAATATTGCTCATTTTTATATAAAGTTTAGGTTTATGTAAGGGATAAGATTACTCGCCTGCCCTTTCTTCTCGCAATTTATCCCGTGTAGGACACGGCAATCCGCCCATGTTTTCATGCCGAAGAATAGCACGTTCACGAATGTGCAGATCGAGACCGGGGACGTTCGCCCAGTCACTCCATAACGTCACGACACAGTCTGATTTGACGTCAAAGAGAAATCCGAAACTTGACCCGGTGATTAAAAACACTATGAAAATTGGTGTAATAAGAACAAGAACCATTTCTGCATAACACCTTTGATACCCTTTTAATCAAATGAAATTTATTATGAATCTTTGAATAATTTTGCAACGTAAAATGGTTAGGTCGGCACATTCCACTTGTATCAGAGTAAAAAACGGAAACACTTTGTTGTCGACCTGCAAATCTAAAAATTACACCGTCGTTAAAGTATATTCCGGATACATTTGTTCAAACATTATTGTGCACCTAACGACTGTAAAAACCTTTTAAAGTATGTTATGACGGTGGTTCCTCGTGTTCGTGAACTAGTACATTATAATTGAACGAGATTAGAAGCACTTAGTATCGCAAGAAAGAAGGAGCCATAATCTAAATAAGTGACATTAAATATATATGTTTAGGTATATATTGTTTGTCAAAGTGTATATCATCAAAGAGTGAGACTTAAAAAGGATGGGCGCCTCACTAAATACCGTATTCTGATATATACCGGACAAAGCCCTTGACTATTAAATGCTAAAGTCATGCCTTTTCACCCATACGGAATGAACTTTCAAAGGTCTTTTTCATCTTTATACACCGATTTATGTATGATAATGAATGAAAAGTGTAAGAATCGGCGGGGAAAAACGATATTTGTCTATTTATTGATCATGTCTTCAGCAAGATCTACTGCTCCAGTCCTGTATCGAGTTAAATCCATTTTTATTTGTTTGGGTCGTCAGACCAAACAAATAATGGTAGCGAAATTTCAGAGTCTAATGTTGTTAATTGCAAATGCCGAAAGTAGTCCACTTTTTTGAAGCGGTTACTTCCCTTTTGTATGTACACAAACGCCGAAAAATTCAGGGGAGATCACTGCGTAAAGATGGTCAAAGACAGGCGCGTTAATTTTCAAGCAAAGTGATTCCCGAATGGTCGAAGATTTCTAATATTGTTTTATTGTATTTTCTGATCGAAAATAAGTAAATACAAAGCGGACATTCAATCTCTGACACAGAAGTTTACGACAAACCTAACAACAAGTAGTTCTCAAAACAGCTAAAAACTAGCGATTTAAAAGAAAGAAATATTTTATTTTGTTACAAGTATGCAACAAATTACAACGCATTCAAAGTTAAACAATAGCGTTGGCTTATAGAATTGTCAATAAATGCACAATCACAAACTACGCGGATGAATATGATTTTATCAATGAAAATACTATTTTTAGCGATGTGGATTACCGAATACTACACAAACCGAGTAGTGGAATATATAGATTCTACATGTCGGACTGTTTGGGCGAGAAGATTTTCGCTAAAATATTTACTTCAATTTTAAACAACAGGTTTATCCTGAACAAAATACCTCGAAATTAATAAGGATTACAAACCCGAAATGCAATGGAAGTTCTAAATTTAGAATGACTTGATGTTATTCAGACATTGTGTGTATAACTTCTCCGTGGTATAGTGGTAACGCGCTCGCTTAGAGAGTGAGAGGTCTTGAGTTCGAATCCCAGTCGAGGAAATTTTTTTTGGGGTTAAATTCCTTTTTAAGTGTCTTTGTTAAGGAAGTAGCCATGATATGCAAGGATAAAGTGTGGCTGTCGTAAAAAATGAACTTAAATGATTTTTTGATACAACTCTAGTTATGCAGAATTCCGTATGTATCAAACTCTGGTGCCTTGCAAAATGAATTATAATACATAAAAATAAACTTATACAGGAAAATGCATACAGATATACAGTACGATTTAGATTGCAAAGATCAGAAAATACCACAGAACTTGCAGCTCTTTGATTCTTTATAAATATACATGCTTATAGTAAGCTCCAGGATTATTTACATCAGTGTTAAACAACAGTTAAAGTCGTTACAAGCCCTAATTTAGAATAATATGGTTTTCTTCAGGCTGTTCACATATAAATTCACCGTGGCTGAAGGGTTTTCGGACTCGCTTAGGAATCGAGAGGTCTGGAGTTCAAATCCCAGTAAAGGTAACTCATTTTTTTTTTGAAATTGTTAAAGTCAAATAAACATTGGATTGAATATCAGTGTTGAAATTAGTCTTATAGCCAATTTACTACAATTAAAACGCTGGAAAGCATTGGTGGCACTATACATATAATCTCACAACCTGCAACTTTCTAACATTCTGAGACCCAAACAAATTCAGCGCCTTCTGTGCTTTGATTAAATGTGTAAATCCACTATAACAACATGGAAATTGACACTCTGCGTTACCCGACATATTTTTACGGTAACATTGGGTCACCGTTACGAATGCTATTTTCAAACGTTTTCGTTATATCTATCAATATGTTTGATAACTAGTAATAAACATATACATTGTACCATGTTCTAGGGGAATTGTTGCCGGTTCCAGCTTATGCGGCAACATTGTTATGAAAATATGTGTCACACTTTCTGCAATAATATGCTGTAATCATATAGCGAAAGGTACAAGAGCTACATTGGTGATGATCTTAAAATGTTGAATTCTGCTTAAGCCGGTGCTAAGGGGCACAGACGGTAGCTTGAAAATACAAATAAGTTAAACAGTCGTAATGTCTTCAAATAAGCTAAACGTAGGGTGTGGATATATACTGGGATTATTTATTTATTTATTTATTTATTTATGCATTGTTTCGTGCGTACAAATTCATTTTTTTAGTTTTATATTGTTAAAATAACGAGGCATACTAAATCGAAATTGAGATTAATATTTCACACAGAATTTTGAATCTTTACACTAATCAACATGATCAAGTCAGTCATCTACCAAATGGTACATAAATGTTTAAAAGGCTGTATATCAATTTTTGTTTGAAAAAAAAAAAATACAAAAAACAAGAGATTAAACGTTAGAAATATTATTTTATTCAAGCTGATTATTCAAAACATTCATGTATCTAACACATTCGACTATAAATTATAATAATTGAAGATAATCTACCGAAATAAAGACATCTGTTAGGAAGAAATTACATAATTATTCATCTTTAAATCTTACTACTTTGGCAGTTTTACACACTCCTCGAATGAATAAGATAAAGAAAATCAAAACGGAATTCTGTCTGTCAACTGACCGCTTTCTGATTAAATGTGGGACACAGATATAAAACAAGACGAACTTTTAAAGCTGTGTTGACTGACACAATGTCTTAAGGAAGATTAAATGGCATACATTTCTGGATACTTCGTTGTTTTCTGAGTTCCGCAATGAGCGAATCTAAGTCTTGTAGTTGTTTCACTGCAAATAAATGCTTCGGTACTGGTGTTGTGACATAGCTAGCTATTTCGTTCACCCCTCTCTGTGTGAAAGACCCAATAAGTAAGGTAAATACGGTGGCCTTTTTCTGAAGCTCTTTGGCAGCTGTCGCCACGGCACCTCCGCAGTTGGACTGTCCGTCGGTTAGAATCAAGACCTCTTGAACAACATCACTTTGAGTTCTCATGCCTGAAATTGTGTGTGCACATGTGAAGAAAGTAAAACAGATACATGTAACCGACTTCATTTATACTCACGTACTGAAATGCAAGCATGTTTAAACTTTCAGCCATAGCAATAACTGCAACTTAGCCTAAATTGTCACTTATTTTATTATCACCTATTTTTTTATCTATGAACTGCGACAATGGTTGTTAGACTTGTGGGGGTTATTTATTTAGAAAAATATTGTATAACTTTTACTCTCTAAGACCACTCATTTATAAAACTTGTACTCTCTAAGGCCACTAATTTTTAAAAGTACTCCCTTCTCCAATCTGCCGCCTTTACTTTTCAAAACATTTTATCATTTTGACGGACTCAACATGTATCTAGATACTGTGTACATTAAATATAATTGACTACTATTTTCAAAAAATAAGAAAACAAGTACGCAAAACAAAATCGCACCTTTCCATTTTGAAAACATATTGAGAGCGACGGTAAACGCTTTCGTAGTACATGTTATCCCACCTAGATATGGGACGGCTAGAATCCCGTTCTTCAAAGTGGACGTATGTTGGTACTTGTTAAAATCGAATATCTCATTTGTTGAACCGGCGAAATCAATCAAGGCAGCGTGTTGATAGAGTTGAGCAAACGGGTCAGGATCAGGACACAGCATCCCTAGTAGTTCTGCTAGATTCTGTTTTGTTTTATAGAAGTTACTGCTTCCAATACTTCCAGATGAATCCAAAATAATCAGAAGGTCTCGTTTTTGGCCGGTAGCTTGGGGATTTTGCGGATTCGCCACTCCTCGTATAAAGTTTGCCGACATCGATCTCGCTGTGGCTTGAATATTAGCATGTCTACTTGTTGTAGGATTATAATCTGGAAAAGAGTATGTGTTTGAAGTCAATACAAGATATAACTTACATCTTTAGTCCTTCGTCGACACGTCCGCTTATCCTGCTGATACGCCAGTCCAACTGTGCAGAAATTAAAATGGAACCACACACTTGTTAACTGGTACTTATTTAAGTCTAGAGGACATTTTAACATAGTCGACAAGGATAAAGAATCGGACTCAAATTGCGATAATTCATAAGTTGATAGTTTTGTTGACAAATCGTTATTTCTTTGTGGTAATGAAACATTAGCAAGTCTTAAACGGGAGTTTAGCGAGGTTTTTTAGGATTATTGTTCCGTTTATCCGTTTTATTTTAAATGTGAACAAGGGCAACATTGTCGCAAACTACGCCCGTAGCAAAAGCTTTTGACAGAGATGTGGGCATTACAGATATACATGTACATATAGGAGATATGCTCCGGGAAATTTTCGGAAAATATCTGGATTTTTTATCATCTCTAGCGACCTTGACCTTGTAAATATTAACCGAAATTGCATGTGTCACACTTGAAGTCATGATAGTTAACATTTGTGTTACAATCCACTAAATGGTCCCAGTACACAGTGACCTCTCTGTGTGAATTTTACTTTGATTGCAGGGACCTGGATTATGTGTGCGATTAAACATTTATGCCAAGTTACATTACCCCCCTCCCCTCTCCGCCCCATGAATGTAGAATAATCCGGAAACAAAGTGAAAGAAGTTTGGCTCTGAACAGGCTTGTGTGACCTTAACCTTTAACCTAGAGACATGGTTTATGCACGTGACACTGCTTCTCATATTGGTGAACATTTCTATGAAGTTTCATTAGAATCCCATAATGCGTGGAGGAGTTATGCTCTGGACAATATATCTATATCTTATCATCTTAACTTGGAATTAAACTAAATTACATGTTTCACACCAGTAGTTGTGATAATGACCATTTGTGTTTCAATCCATCAATAAATGATTACTAAATAGTCCGAATACACATTTTTATATTTTAATCTGAACTTTGACTCCCCATATTTGACATTGACCGTGGCCGCAGGGACCTAATGTTTACATGCGACATTCTGTCTTACAATGGTAAACATTTGTGCCAAGTTATATTGAAATCCTTCTAGGCATGTAGAAAGTTTGATCCAGACAAGGCTAGCGTTTGTCAATGACCTCTAAGTGAAACCTTGGCCATTGACCTAGAGACCTGGTTCATGTGCACAACTCGGCTTCTCATAGTGGTAACCATTTGTTTGAAGTTTCATTGAAATTTCTTCATGAGTGTAGGAGATATGCGCCGGCTGCCCGCCCAGCCGCATGCCGGCCCGGCCGCCAGGGGAGGGGGAACTATAATACTACCTGTTTTTCAAACGGGCGTCTAAAATGACCGAACATTGAAACGCTTTGAGCATTCCGCTTTTCACTCAAATCGGACTGAGAACAGTAGGAAAATAAGATTTTTAATTGATATATTTCTTAATTATATTTTGGAAATTTTGTCGGAACAATGATCTATGTAGGAAATTCAAATTCTATGTTTTAAGGCTAAAATGAATAAAAACAAGTTCAACAATAACACAAACAAAAACACTTTAAGATCATATTGAAAATATTACAATATTTAAAAGACTTCCACTGTGGTATTAAAGCCTAAAATCATTTAATTCGAAAGTTTTCATAAACCAACTGGTGCACTTAAAATGAAAATCTATGCAATATATTATATGTAAATATACACGGTACGAAATTAATAATCGGTTTTAATGCGTTTTCGTGCCAATTTGAGTGTAAAGCGTTGCAACGCTTTTCAATTTTTTTGTCAACTTGAGTAAAAAATTGATTATCCCTGGAAAGCGGTTTGCGCAAATGGTCTGAAATTTTGCACACGAGTAATTAATTCGGACCTACATACAGTAAATCAAAAGTTTCGAGAAGTATGTTCGGTCCCTTCATGTCAAAAAACCTCAGTGGAGTCCCTTTAAAATCTAAACTCTAATGCTTTGTTGACACATGTATCGTGTCAGTATTAATTACATTAAATAATGTTTTATTCTCATAGTTACTCCCCTTGCAAATCGCTATACCGTAACGGGAGAAAGTTGTACGGACTAGACATGGAGTCGCTACATACAGACCATTTATATAGTAAATACTGTTCGGCGCACCTAACTATGGAACGACTCTATATTCAGGGGGTCACTAAGACAGTCTTTACTGTAATTCACAAATTTATTCACATTTAAGTTGAAAAACAAAAACCGATCACCATAAATATGTATATACATTTTATTTTGAATAGCTCGTGACCCTTTCTGCATTATATAAATATCAACGTCTATCAGCTAGTTTCATGTAAATAAGCAATAGCCAAATGCATTATAGTGTTTGTCGAAATACAATGTAACAAAAAAATCTCAAGAAATTGCTTGTGTTGCAAACTGGTAGTTCTAGCTGTAGAAACACATATTTTTTAAACAGGATATCGTCAGTAAGTGTTTGAACTTATTTTACGAACTTCAGTTAAAAAATAATTGAGATTTAGTTTATGTAACTTGATTAAATCGATTTACCTGTCTTTACCTGCCTAAGCTCGTCATCTGGCGGGCATGGTGTCCCACCTTGGTTGTCATACCGAAGAACACCGCGCTCCCTGATGTGCATGCCAAGTCCAGGCACGGGTGTCCATGTACTCCACGTGGACACCAGACAATCCGCTCTGACGTCAAACAGAAACCCATCACAAACTGCAGTTGAGAACACAACGATACAAAATCCGCAACAAACGCTCTTCATTTTTTAAAAAACAAAAAGATAAACCGTCCTTTACAATTAATACAGGATTTCTTTCTGCTTTTACTTCTCTTAACAGCAATATACTCATTTAATGTTAGATATGTCACCCCTTCATTTCTTATCTATTTTTACCATATGTCATATGTAAATGTGCGGTTACAGAACTACATGCACACTGCTTCCAATGTGAGAGGGATACTTTTGTGTTCTATTTTGAAAATTAAAGGCCCCTTATGCCTAAAAATTTTATTTCTCAAAAGCCTTTTATTTCTCGAATCGATTTACAGTTTTCAAAACAAATATCATTTTCAATATAAATAAAACAACTTTTGCTTCCTTTGCTTAGGCGGTAATTGGTATCATTATAGCAAATTGATAGTTTGTATGAAAGCCAAAATACTACTGTGTTTTACATATTACTACCTTTGCGACACAGTAATGAATATCCGGTGCTACTTTCTACTCTTGTTAAGCATCTAACATGGCCTAAATTCAGTATTGGAACATTATTTAACACATGTTGGACGTTTCTAAAGTATTAAAAATAATATGGAGTACTGCGGTAAAATGTGCCTTTAATAAATTCGTACATGTATTAAATGCATTCAGAAAGTAAAATTAAACATAGTCCGCAAGTAAATATTTTAAGCGACCCTTATTAAAGCAGCACGCCTCCAGATTCATCCTAATTTTCCTTTTGGTTACTTCACAAAAGTATTTTACGGACTTCAATTAAAAAGTAATTGCGCTTTGAGTAACTTGATTAAATTGATTTATATTACCTATGGTACTTCACAAGTACCATTTTTGTGAAGTAACCAAAAGGAAGCAATTTACACATTATCAATGGCACTTACAAACCACGTTAATTACCAAAAAGTGGTCATAATATGCATAAACATTCTTTACTGCGTTAGTAATGCAGTAGAATTATAGTTGTAAATACTGAAAAATCAGTCATTAATCGCACATAATATGTAAAATATTACTTGACTCTTTGAACTTTTTATTTTTCCTTACATCTAAGTACATTTTCCTCAAGATTGATTTTATTGAAATATTCTGACTCATCTGGAGGCATGTGGCTTTAAAATTTAAAGCAGTATATCCATAAATATTCCCGTTGCTTACCTATTGTAAAATGTGTTTTAATGTAGATAGTATATACGTACTAGAATATCTTTTATAAGTTACCTCTTAACTAAAAGTACTATCGCAAACATTGTTCAAAAGAGGATATTGAATGAGTGTAAGTTCAATACTGAATTTATTGCACGAGTTGAATAATATTGTTTTATTCAACGAGTTCAATAAATTCAGTTATGAACTGACACGAATTTAATATTCTATTTATCACATACTCGAAATAAAGACCGTTTGAAGTGAAAAATAATCATTTTTCATTGACGCGCCTATAGTATAACGTTAACATTTAGCGCGTCTTTACACTGTGTTTGTATAACGCTAAGGACGTCACGTCAAAATATATGCACGGCCGTGCAATACCATTTTTACGGAGTCGCAAAATCGGCACGGGTGTGTGATAAACCACGCACATAACAAACTCAAATAGTTGAATAGTAGTGAACATATATTAAATCATCAATAAACCTCGCATAATTTAGCAGATGCAAAAGGTCAATTTTACGTTGACAAGCGATTTTTCAAAATTATTTATGGCAAAATCTGCGGTTGCGTACCGTAATCAAGGGAGCGAAATAGTTGCTATATTGGCATATAGGCGACCGAGTCTAGAAAAAAGTTCTTGTGCATTGAGCCTTTATTTGAAATGTGCAAACTTAGATATTTATATACTATTGACTGAAACGCATATTGTCGGGTTTGATAAACTCAAAAACTTATGGTTAGAAATAAATGAGAAGGAAAACCCAACCAGAACATTTGTTTGTCAAATTTCAAAATATGAAATTGACCAGTTTATATCTTCAATAAATTCGTCAAACAATACGACTGAAGTAGATCATAAAACCAAGAGTTTCATATGCATTGCATTAATGAATAGACATGCCAAACAATGCAAAACTCACTGTAATACTTGGGCACAACTGGAGCGGGCGTTAAAAATTAACGTGACTCTCGATCGCTATTTTGTCAGGTTTGGAATCGTTTTCACTTACTAGCACATCTTATCAACGATCATACGATTATGGAAATCTCATCGTACGATTTTGATCTACGATTGGCGTGCGCCCGATCATAAGACTGTCTTATCAACGAAGTCGTACGTTCAACATAAAATCTTACGATTTTCTATTACTAGACGTACGATTCTTGCGCCTGCGCACTAGCAGGTGCTCTTCAAAAAAGGAGTTAACGCGCATTTTACTGTCAATCTTGAAAGACGGCGTCTGCTGTAATTCAGCGATGTTTGACAAGGTATGAATTGATTTAATAGTTAGTATGGTCTAATTGACATTGAAAAAATAGATACATATACTGTTTTTGTATTACATTTACTACATATTACTACACAGTTTTATATTACTACACATAGCAAAATTCCTGCTTAAAATTGCAATTGTTTCTGCAACATTGTTGAGTTGTGGTAAGGCCAAAAAATGAATAAAAGCATAGTTTATTGAATCATTTTGCCCTATCCTTTCAGTGTGTTTTGTCTTTACCTGTTCCTTGTTTTTCCTTAAAGTATAAGGTGTATGCATGTATGTATGCAGGAATTAATTGGTTTTCAGACCTCTTGGGGCCTTATAATTACATAATGAAGAAGGAAATTTATTAAGTACTTTGCAACCTTCAATACATTTTTTTATGAAAATAAGAAAAGATAAAGACTTTACTCAATATAAGATTAAGTCATTTGTTAAATACATAACAAAGTTTTTCTACAATTTTTGTGAGTATTTATCTTGTGGTTTAAGGTTTGTAACGTTAAAATTAATACTTAAATAATTGATTTAAACACTTTCGTTTCCAACGTTTGGTATATGATGTAGACTTTTCATTGTGTAACCGACATTGCCTTTTACTACATTGATCAAATGAGCCGCGTCACGACAAAACCAACATAGTGGGTTTGCGGCCAGCATGGATCCAGACCAGCCTGCGCATCCGCGCAGTCTCATCAGGATCCATGCTGTTCGCTATCAGTTTCTCTACTTGTAATAGGGTTTGTAAGCGAACAGCATGGATCCTGATCAGACTGCGCGGATGCGCAGGCTGGTCTGGATCCATGCTGGTCGCAAACCCATTATGTTGGTTTTGTCATGACACGGCTCAATTGTGGTATTGAATAGTCAACAACGGATATAACGGGTAAAACTGGAACACGTTTCTAAACATATCACCTGGTATAACGGGTTACACTGTAACACGTGTCATATACCGAGCATTCCATAAAGTAAATACACGAACGACTTTGTTGCAATAAATGACCGAACATTGCATACATAACTTACAAAAATTTTCATAGTTGACTGTTAAAATCTTAATTCCCTGAAAGCATGCCAATGGTGAAACGGTTCAAAGGGAGGTTATTGTTTGGCTCAAAATAGAGTCGGTAAGAGTTACTTCCCCTTATATCATTCAAATGGGGTAAGGGTTGAAAAAAATCTAGTCGGTAGGAGTTACCACCCCTGATACCATTGCAAATGGGTTCAAAGGGAGAAAACTATTGCGCTCACCATAGAATCGGTAAGAGTGACTTCCCCTGATACCATTGCAAATGGCGTAAGGGTTCAAAGGGAGGTAACTCTTGGGTTGACCATAGTCGGTAAGAGTGACCTCCCCTGATACCATTGCAAATGGTGTAAGAGTTCAAAGGGAGGTAACTCTTGCGCTCACCATAGAATCGGTAAGAGTGACCTCCCTTGATAACATTACAAATGGCGTAAGGGTTCAAAGGGAGGTAATTTTTGTCCTAACCATAGAGTCGGTAAGAGTGAGCTCCCCTGATAGAATTGCAAATGGCGTAAGGGTTAAAAGGGAGGTAACTCTTACACTCACCATAGAGTCGGTTAGAGTGACCTCCCCTGATAACATTACAAATGGCGTAAGGGTTCAAAGGGAGGTAACTCTTGTCCCTTACCTTAGAGTCGGTAAGAGTGACCTCCCCTGATACCATTGCAAATGGCGTTAGGGTTCAAAGGGAGGTAACTCTTGCCTCACCATAGAGTCGGTAAGAGTGACCTCCCCTGATACCATTGCAAATGGCGTAAGGTTTCAAAAAGAGAGGACATATCTTATGAAAAATGACCGTGCGACCACATACACGCATCACAGGTTTCCCCTTCTCATACGAGAAAGGGACAAAAGGTTGTCCGCCCTTTGGTTAAATGGCAGACTTACAAAAATATGCCAGCCTTATTGCTATTGATAAGGAGGCTAATTTTCACAGATATGTCTTGAATTGGTTTATATACGAATATATTAACACAAAACAATCGGTTTATCAGTTAACGTCTTTTTAAGTCCGATATGAAATTTTAAAAGGATCATAAATAACTTCATGGAAAATTTAGACTTTAAAGATTTTCTACTCAGTAAAATTGGATTTTAACTTAAATTTTTATTACCTCCCTTTATTTACATGAAATGTTATATTCGGTAATATATCTATAAAAAATTCTTTTCAGAACCTACAATATTGATAAATCTTAATTTGAGCATCATATTTATTATTTAAAACAATAAAAAATTGTGTTACAGGATCTTTAAATATCACGCTACATTGTACGTTTTCTTTAAAAGAATATTTTGCTTAAACAGAACGTTTCTCTTTATTGAGCTGTATGTATTAATATGTTTATAGGCATATCTTAGCACGGTCCATTATTCTACATTACGAGGAATAGTCTGAGGAGGTATCCTCCATGCATGCCAACGGATTCCGCGGTTCCTCTTAAATTTAAAAAAGAAAAATAAGATTTTACCTAGGCGGCCAGTATTCCAAAGACGAATGTACGATCGAACCTGTCAGAGTAATTGTTCTGGTTTGAAATGTCCTGGACATTGTATGGCAGTTTTGATCGTGATATGCTTGATGAATGTATATCCTTTTTTGTGATATAAAACAAATGACAGTATCTCTCTTTTAAAATGTAACTTTAAGTTAATTTTATTAAATATATCTATAAAATATAATTTAT